AGGGTGCACCACGTGGAGGTGAGTCTATCGCACACCCCACTTAGTCGGATATTATACTAGTCAATCAGAGGTGTGCGATAGACTTACCTTCATGTGATGCAGCCTGGGTAACGTATACTCACACGGCAAAAAGGTCTATTATTCGGCAGTTGACTTTCTGGCTTCAAACTACCATCACTACACTGTATGTCTTATTCGACTACTTCCACCCTACTCACACCACCTTTTTCTGCCTTTGTGTCTGTATCTGTTACATCTTTGAAACACTCTTCTGTTCCCCCAACCAACTCGACTTTTTTCACCTTTATGTTCCTTCCCCTCTGTGAAATCTGAAGTCAACTAAAGGACTAATGATAACTGTCAAAACGCCTGTCATTTGATATAAATAAATACTAGTCAACCAATTTATCATTGACACGTCGTATGCGGACCACAAAATCCAAAAGATCTATGTGAGGAGAGTAAGCAAAAATTTCATTGGTATCATGTTGGTTTTTAAAGCAGGTAAATATTTTATTTTGAGATTTTTCTCTTAGAAAATGGCATTTGCCTTATTGATATCTGCAATATTTACACCCCTGACCCTAACCCTTTTTATAGTTCTAGGTCATAATAGAATCTCGCATTGTGCCTAACGGAATTGTGTGTCTTTTCTTCTACTTCATCTCTACCTGGGGAGACTGGGACATCGGACCTGCAGATCATAAAACATGTCGAAGTTATTGCTGTCATGCCTTTTTCTAAATTATTCAACTGGCTCCGATCCTTTTGTATTCCTATGATTATTCTCGAGGTATTCAATTCTTATCACATAAAACATGAATATGCAATAATATCTAACTACGTTTAAAGATTTGAATCCCTTGGCCAAACTCCTTTGTAATTGTAATAGCAATGTTAGACCGGCTAAGAGAAAAAATGTGGTTGAATCACCATTTACTTTATTCCAGCACACTAGTCGGACCAACATAAATTGACACGGTGCGCATAATGATAAGGATTAATTTGTTATTAACTCCCAGGGCATTCTGCAGACATTTCCGCGTAGCTGGGTCGTAGAATAAACACCAATACATGCAGGAAGAGGTGTGTTTCTGCGTAAACGCGTAGATACACATGAGCGTACATAGTCGTTTATTAAGTCTGTAAGTTTGCCACCCGGGGTAGGATTTGCTGCATTCGACTGCCCAGCATGACTGTACTCCAAATCACGTCCCCGGTTGCCTTTCTTGATGTCGCTTATGCTGCTTGAAACTTTCAAGCAAAATGACAGAAGCAGGAGGAAACACTTGCAGTCACGCTTTCAAATGTCTTCAAACGGGTATTTGCATGTTTGAACAGGAAGCAATAGCAAAAGGAATGCTTGAATAGCAAATAATATGAGACCGAACTAGCAGTCAAGTCGAGAGACCAAGTATGTGAAGAAGAGAAGAGGCCTGTTCAATACTCGCAAAAATTTTCACTATCCCTGGTTAGTTGATCTTTATTTTATCATTTCTGGGATGTGCGATAGACTTACCGCCATGTTGTGCGCCCTGGGCAACGTATACTCATATGGCAAAAAAGTCTATAAACTGGCAGTTGACTTCTGATTTCAAACTACCATGACCCGAATGTATGTCATATTCAACCCCTTCAACGGTACTCACCTCACTTTTTTCTACCTTTGTGTCTGTCTGTCTCTTTTACATCTTTAAATTATTATTCTGTCCCCCATCTCGAATTTTTGTCAATTGGATGTTCCTCCTCCACTCTGTGAAGCCAGAAGTCAGCTAAAGGGACGATGATAACTATCAAAACGACTGCCACCTCAAAAAATTGTTGTGGCGTATTTCTCTAATTAATAATAATTCAGTCTCACAACATATATTTGGGCTAAATATAAGTCACTTATAGAGTGGGATACCTTGGGAAAACAGAAATAACCGATGTAATTGAACATCTCGCCAATGTAAGGGAGACTGTTTCGATACGTTTAGCTTAGGCCGACCTTTCAAATTTTGACCTCAGTAGAACGATGATGCTAATCAACGCTACTTATATATTAACATCAAAGAAGCGACTATGTACCGAGATATGATTAATACGATTAAGAAATTGGAACCTAATGAACTAATAGGTCTACCTCACCCTCAGTTTTCAGCGAATTCTTTATTAAACTATGCTCATTGAGATTTCCAACAACACTACGGAAATAGTCGACCATCTCAGATGTCTACATTGGAGACCTCGATGAACAACTTCCTTCAAATTCGACATTCAAATTTGGCAAGAAAAACGGCATGAAAAGAGGGAGAGAGTGGTATCGAGTTTCCGACAAACAGAACTGAAGATTATGATGTGCAAATATTATAACTTAACTTACAATGCAGTCTGCAAGGAGTCATCACTCTGACATTGATCTTCTAAAGGTGGAAGGATGGACAAAATGTTCTTTGCTCCTTCGGTGGGTTTTGAACTGAACAAGATCACTTAGCCCACAGATTTCTCTGAGTGGGCAGGTGTTCCAAAGTCGCATTATATATTGAGCAAGCCGTTAATAGTCGTATATTGTTCGTTAAGTTGCTAGTGTCTTGAAAGTAAAGAACTTTAACCTTCTCACCATATACCATATATGGTCCCATTCGCTAAAACAGAAGGGAAATTTACACCGTGCGGCCGAAATAAAAGAGACACTCTAAACTGTGTAGCGAATTTCCTGGTTAGCACATTCAGCAAGCGCTGTGAACTATCGAATTCCCCATATGTTGTAACTTTTTTTATATTCTATGTATTACTACATTTAAGCGATATAATATTAATTGACCTCTCTGTAATCACAACGAGCCCCATTTGCCTTGATCACTCAGCTTATTTTATCGGGTCTGATTCAAAGATCCTTCAACAGTAACACCGTGATCACCTGCAATTGCATTAACGCAATTGATCAACGCTGTGTTAAAGGTCAACCTAACCAAAGTGATCTATACAAAATCTATTAGGGAAGCTAAATTATAACTCTTAAAAAAGGTTTGGGTATATTTTGGCAACGCTATTAACACCTGATAGGAATAAATTCGAAAGGTCTATGAGGGGTATGAATTGATCTGCGCTAAATGATACCTATTCGGAGATCCAGCAGGTGTAAACTAAAAAATATATCGTTCCTTATTCTAGTCCTATATTTCAATGTGCGGGGTGTGCGATAGACTTACCTCCACGTGGTGCACACGGGGCAACGTATATTCATGCGGCAAAAACGTCTATAAACCGGCAGTTGACTTTTGAGTTCAAGCTATCATGACCCCATTGTATGTCATATTTGACCACTTTCACAATACTCAGCACACCTTTCATCTACCTTTGTGTCTGTCTCTCTTAATCTTTAAAACACTCTTCTGTTCAGCCCCCTCCCCACGACTTTTTCACTTTGATGTTCCTCTCCCTCTGTGAAGCCTGAAGTTAACTAAAGGGCTAATGATAACAATCATAAAGCCTGCCATTTAATATAAAAAATAAAATATTTAGATGTGCAATAAACGCCAATATATCCAGGACAGGCTCTAAACGCACACTAATACAACCAATGACTAAGTTCCTTCAAGCAAATCAAAATTAGTCCAAACAAGTGAACTTCGAGATAGGAGACGAGTGCCTCCTGAGATCATACATTTTTGGTTTTAGTACAAATGTTTCCATAGGGTCCAAAAATAACCCGAGTATTCCCCTGTTTCATATTTAATCCCGAACTCTTTTAAGAAATCTGTAACATAAGATTTTGAAAGTAACCCATTGCCATATCTGCGCATAGGGTGTTAATTTCTTATCTCCTTATCATAGTGAAAACCTTACCAAGCTTTTCCCTACAATCATTCAGCAATATAATTAGGCCACCTCTTCAAACCATACCCTATTGATCATTCCTTCCCCTCGCCCCCCCCCCTCAACCACCTAGTATTCTCCTCTTTTCCTCCAAGTGAATTACGTGTCACCATGCGCACTATATGTTTTCCTCAACAAAAGTTGTATCGAATAGCCGCAGAACAACCATCGTGCTCAGGACAGTGAAGTTAATCTCTACTTCCATATAATAACTCTATGCATTTCGAATGACATAAGTATGCGGTCTTTCGAAGTAAGCGTATATTGCACTGGCAATCCATCCTCCACAATAGACCTTTAATGTTCACTTGATATTAAAGAGAGAACAAAATCGATCTAATCCATGGGCAATGAGGGCATAGTGATGGTTGCAATATATTTCTTCACAAATCCAAAGACAATGGAGTACACTTAAAGTGCAAGTATTACAACAAGCTTGCAATAAGAGTCTGGCTCCAAACACCGAATGGTAGAGGGAGAAAAGAGGGGAGGGGGGAGAGGGGAGAAAGTGGACAAGGCACGAAAAGGAGATTACTGATAAACGCCATTGCGTATTAAAGTGAGTTCCTTGTTGATTTCAGAGACCAAGTCAGTACGGGCAACTTCACGCTCGGCTCGTGTACTGATATGTCTCAGCTTGACGACTCCACGTTCCAACTCGGTTTGACCGATCAAGACTGCAAGGGGGATGCCTGTTGACTCACAGTACTGAAGCTGATCCAGAAGCTTGGGCTGGTTCTTGTGTGAAAAAGCCGTCTACAAGAGAGGAAGAGGATACAAAAGAGACTAAGAGAAAGCGAAAAGCAGCAAATAGCTAGCTTCATATAGAGAATATATAAATGGTGAAGACCTTAGTGCAAAGAACCCATCAACTGTAATTTCGCAGAAATCGGCAGTCCTCAAAATAACGACTCAAAGAGCAGTCGCAGTATTGAAAATGGAAAGTTAAAAGTCACTGTGGGCTACAATAACGGCCTATATGATAAACATATTGAGCAACAGCGTCTTAAGTATGATCGAATTAGTCCAATAGCCAAGTCTGATTCCCCTGACAACCCGAACACCTGTAATTGGCACAATAAATGAAGACGTGATCTGGACAAGGCGTATTCCCATGTAGCCTTCTTGAACTTTGCATGGCCACATTAGGTTAGGATAGAAAATTCCAACCCCATTTAAACACGTTATTTTGGCAACTATTTTGCTAAAATTTATTGGATTTCAACTGCTTAATAAGGCATGAACATCGTGGATATGAATTCAGCTCAAAGGGTTTGGTCAAATATTAAAATTTAAACTCGGGAGCGAAAGGCGTAAAGGAATAAACTGGGTCCGATCCAACTCCTAGTCCTCATTCCATATTGAATTGCCTCCTGTGTTGACTACGGGCAAATATAAGCTATTTTAAAAGCAAAGAACTTTAGGATAATTGCAATAGAGACAGGCTGAATAACATATAAAGCCACTCGCATCTTATCTCAAAAAACTGTGAGAGAACTATTTCTCCTTTTACACGTGGCAAATATAGACAATAAATTAGTACAGATGGACGGAGGTAAAGAAGAATAAGCATTAACGGTTCGCACTATCAATGAAAAAACTCAATTAGAAGGGCGTCAATAGGACTTGGATACCAAAAAGAGGACAAATGGAGATGTTTGTTTGACACACAAATTATGCTGATCAGAATAAACTCGTGAGATACGTCGCGCACATCACTGGGCCAGTGAGAAAATAATAGACTCAATAACGGAATGAAAACTTCCAGATGCTCATTTGAATTTGAAGTTTTTTTGAGGCCTCTCATGTCAGATGACATTTGCAATGATAGGCTTATTGGACAATCAAGGCGGATATAAGCGAGACTTACCAAATCACTAGTAAAATGAATTTTCAAATTTGTAACGATTTCTCTGACTTTTGTTGCAAACAAAAGCTTGAAAACGTCATAATGCGGAAACGCTTAAAATGAGGTAACATCGAAACATCCAACTACTATACACCTTGTAGCAGCTGAACCTCAAATGAAATAAGAAAAAAACAAAATATAGCTAAATCAAATAGCCCCAATCAATCGAACCCAATAAGCATGACTCACGCCACAGCTTATTTGTCTCGACCCAGGAATGCCTCCACATGTTTTCCGGCATTATATATAGAACGAGGGTGTATTATAGTCTTGACATGTAGACTGGACGAATATATAAAACCCTTTCAACTTGATCGTAACTTTATCCTCAAAAATGAACCATATGAAATGTTTTTTTATTGCAGCAAATAACATTGTATCAGCGATAAAGAACTTCGATCATCGTCACACCTGAAACGATTAGCCATAAGTTAATAACAGAATACCAGCATAAGGTGTTGCCAATATTAAAATAAAACATAAATTAGTAGAAATTCCAAGTTCGGACTTCGGAATAAAATTTATGCACACATATGAATGTCTTTGGTCAAGAAAATCGGATAACATCAACTATCTAACATTCGACTTCTATCACTGAAGTTAGATTGATAGAACTCAAATCCATGAGAGGTGATACTATCGTAAAAACAACTTGTCAATGCTGCTGGCACTTAGAATTAGTGTTTCGAGCTTTAAAAAACATTATTAAGAAATAACGAACCTTGATATTAGCGTCCCATAGCTCTTGTGCTATCTGAAGACGTGGTGTAATGAGACCTTTGTGGGCGACAATAATCATAACCTCAGTTTCTGTAGCTCTAACAGAAGCAGAGGCACTGGTATCTCCAGCAGCAGCACGTCTACGAGCCAGCATCTCGGAGATGGCCAAAAGACGTTCAACACCAAAGCTCACTCCAACACAGGGCACCGCGGGAGAGTTTGGTGAGAAGAGATTCACCAGGTTGTCATAACGGCCACCACCGGCTACACTTCCCACTGCCCCTTCCATGCTAACATCTTCATCTTCTCCATCTTCGGCTTGGGATTGTTTACCTTTGCCGCCCTTACCTTTCTTCCTATTTGAGGACTTCTTTGGTATCTGCTGGTCTGTTGTGGGCGGGGCCAACTCTGCAGCCTGTTGCTGCTTTCCGTCATAAGTGAATCCTAAATACATGTGTACTCAAATTTAATAAGTAGCAATTGTAAACATGGTAAATTAGAAAGAATTTTGAAGAGGTTGGAATTGAGTCATGGGAGGAAAACATCTGTTTTATCGATATTCACACCTTCAACCACGAGAAACTACCACAGTTCGATTCAATTTCACCAATCTATGTAGAATAATATTTTAGAGAATATTAATTTTAATTAAGACGCTAATTTTGCAAAGCAAGCTAGCTATTGTTCGCAAACGATTTCACAATAATGCAATATGGCAACACTAACGACAGTTCAATAAATTTGAATGATGAGTTTTTACTTACATTTTACTGGAATCCTGGTAACTAAAAATGAATTAACCGATAAACCAGTCAACGGTAAAGCAACGATACCAGTCAAGATTACTTGAAATTGATTTGTCAACCCGAACGAATTTTGCACCAGCAAAGCTGAAATGGACTTTAAATAGCCTAATAAACTAAGTCAACTTTGATGCCTACCACAGCGCTAATAAAATCCTTTACGATACTTACCTATGACGACCTCGTCTAATTAATATACCTCAAATGCTATAAGATGAATGTTCATTCAAGAGGTCTGTCCGAACTAGCGTAGGACCTTCAAAGAACGTATTTTATCCCATACGAAGGGCGTTAGGTACTTTTTGTTGACCCTGACCTTCTCTGAGTGCTTACCCACATAAAAGGCTTGTATTATCCCATACTCTTGTCTCTAAGTCTTGATACATCTTGTGCGAGAAGCTCAAAATAGCCTATAAAACTCGTCTACATATTGCCACAATGAGTATCCATCACCGAAATCCCAACTTCTTCCCATCTTGTTGTGCATGAATCTTATAGACCACACAAACTAACCGAATGCAGGATCTAGATACCCAAATGACTTTATAATTATTCAGTAAGGCAAAAGGGCGATTATAAGTTTATTTCTACCAAATTCCTAATTAAAGAATTACTGGAATATATCAGATTAAGTTGGAATGATATACTTTGGATGGATAGGCATTAGATTTTGAAGACATTCACTAAAAGACTTCATAAGAGACGTGTGAAAACTAAACCTAAACACTTGTCTTTGTCAGCAATTAATCCAATCTGAAACAGTTTAGACAGAACAAGTATAAAGAACCACACAGGTACCCAGAGTCAAAATTAAAATGACTGAATCAAAAAGATAACCAAATTAAGCACCAACAAAGTCCAGTAGACTAAAAACGATTTTAGTAGGTTCGCACTTTGAAAAGACTGATTAAATTCATCCAAATATACAAAACCAAAGCCGACTTAGCATAAAGCCCATTAAATGGGCAAAATGTCGATTAGAATGGCTTCAAAAATAACAGTGTAGTAGCCAGCTTTAAAGCTTGCCACGATAGCCCATAATGCACTACCATAGTTCAGATAATCGTAGACAATTAGTTTGAAATAGTAAATCTGGTGAAAACGCCAATCTCTTCGCTGCAAAACAAACATTCAGTCTTAAAACACCCTAGAGCTTAAATCTAAATTCCAAAATTTTTTAAATGATTTTATTGAAAGAATCGCTGAGTTTAATAACCTTCATCGTCAATCAATTAACTATTTAAGAAGGGATTGGATAGCACTAGTTTCAGACATTGAACTGAGAGAGCAAGTACCGAAAAGACGAAAGATAGTAATCTAATTATACAAGTTCAAAGTTGATAATAACAAGAACAAAGTGCTTTAAAAGAAAAATACCTGTAAGGACTGCCTCGTAGATGACACCCGTATAGTAGTCAAGACCGCGTGCAAGTGAGAGATCAACTTTGAGATTTGACATGATGCCCATAGCTTCACAGTATTCTACCAGAGTGCGCATCTCCTTTAGCGTCTGTTGAATGATTTTTGATTCGGAGAGAAGAGGGTCAGCCTCAAGCTTGTCAAGGACTTCAGCACCACCGGCTATTTGAGTGTAGTGGCCAATGAGATCGACGGCCTCCGGAGAGAGTCCTTTCTCATTAAGCAACTCGTGTTTCACGGTTTCCCATGGAGTCTGCGACGAGAAATAAAAGAGGATTAGAGGTATTTGATATAGCATAAGATACACTAAGTGAACTTGTAGATTGCACATAAGGGCCTTTAAAGCAGCACTAAAGCCCAATGTCAATTTTCACTATAAGTAAATAAGCTCATCACAACTGAGAACTGAGAAATGAAACTAAATAAGGACACTGCAAAAATAATCACTTGGGGTGTGCGATAGACTTACCTCCACGTGGTGCACCCTGAGCAACGTATACTCAAACGGCTAAAAAGTCTATCACTCGGCAGTTGACTTCTAACTTCAAACTACCATGACCCCACTGTATGTCCTTTTCGACTACTTTACAGTACTCACCTCACCTTTTCCTCAACCTTTGTGTCTGTCTCTATTACATCTTTGAAGCATTCTCCTGTTCCCTCCCCCCTCTCGACTTTTTTTCCACTTTGATCAAAAAGAGATATCTTCAGACACACTTTCTTTCCAAACATGTTAGATGTCATTAAGAATTTTCTGCAGTTTTAAGACGTGGAACCCATTTTCGTTAAGACTCCTAATAGGTTTTAAAATTCTTTTGAAACTGGGAATTGAGAGAGTAATATAGTTCATATATGTATAATATTGTTAATCATGGAAAGAAAAAATGATTCAGAAGTCTTTATTTAATTTATAATAGTTAACAAACACATACTAGGTGGACGAAATCGATTTTTTCAAAGGTTTAAAATATGACAACTAGTCTCAACTAGAGATAATTACAACGGAATGATGAGCTCGATTTGGTATAGTTACAACTCTTACTTAAACAGACGATGTTAATAAGTTAAAATAGTTATTCAGCCTTTTAACCAATATGCGAGGCAAACGTAACCTAGAATCGACAAATAAAGCAGATTTAAGAAACCAAAAAATATGACCTCATTTAGCCTCACAAACAGAATGACGAACATATACTAGGAACTTAAAAGTAATTCTCAAAGAACCAACAAATGAGCTTCTTTAGTTTTGATCTCCTTATTCCCTTGTCAAAGTTCAAGTAGAATAACAATGGGGAGTCTAATTAGATAGCCTACCTAAACACTCAAATCGATACGTAAATAAGATCGTTAACAAACCAAGACCTCCAACATAAATGGTAGTTAGGACCACATTTTCCACGATATCCAATGATAAGTGTAGGAATTCTATCTCAAAATAAAATAAGTGAGAACTGCTGAACTCTAGCTGAGTCTCTACCGAAACAGATCACTATTCCCATGCACCATAAACATAATACCGTTTTTACACAAAAGAAAGGAAATGGCAATTAACAATAACTATAAAACGACATTAAATATAACAAATCTACTAGATCTCGCTTGGATAAACACACATTTGTACCAAACAACTGAAACCGTCTAACCTTAGAAAGAAGGTAAATGAAGAAAGGCTTACTTTGTCAAGTTTGTCAACAGAGGAACAGGTAGTGGTGAATTTTTCAGGGGGAACACCACAAGCGGCAAAAAGGCCCTCAAGGAAATTTCGGTGATTTACTTTGATGACAAATTCTCCCAAATTCAAGTCCCTAAGTACCTCGTAGACAATACGCAGACATTCAGCGTCAGCCATCATTAAGCCATAATCACCAGCGATATCGAAATCCTGTTAAAGTGGGGAAAAACATTATGTCCATTACAAGAAATAACAACCGCAACAATGTGAGATTACTGACGCAAACACTGCAAATAGTGTTTACAAGAATAGGCGATCCTATGAAACGTAAATAATAAACTTACGCATTGGTAAAATTCCCGAAAACGACCACGGTTCATGGCTGGTTGATCCCGACGATAAACCTTACCGATTTGGAATCGTTTGATGTTGCGGATTTTATTCATTGCAACATAACGTGCGAATGGAACCTACATTTAATAAAAAGGAAAATGAATTAATCAACTAAATATATTAAAACGTGAGGGAGGGGGTGAGGTATCATACCGTAAGATCATAACGAAGAGAAAGAAGTTCACCACCCTGATCCTCAAGATCGTAGATCAGTTTTGACTCTTCACCGTACTTGCCAGTTAAAACTTCTCGGAGTTCGAAAACGGGTGTTTCTATAGATACGGCATCATGACGTTTAAAGCAAGCTCGGATGACACCGAAAACATTTTCCAAAATACTCATTTGAACAGGGTTTCTGTCACGGGTACCTTTAGGAGCTTTAAGAATAGCAAACTGATCAGAAATTTTCGTTTCGGCCATTTTTCTTCCTAGTTCTTGGACCTTAAAAAGAAATTATTTTCAGTGATATCCAATAATGATGTAAATATAAAGTTTCGTAGCCATCAGCTTGCTAACCTGATATACAGAGATGTAACTTATGTTTCGAAAAAATTGCAAATTAGACAAATTATATATACTAAATGTGTAATTTCGAATTTAAGCATACCTTTTGGCCAGATTTATCATCACGTTTATTCTGCATTTCATGCGGTGGAGTGGAAATAGCCTTGTGCGCAATTAGGCCTGTAGTGGCGTATTACTCAAGAAATCAAGAAAGAAGGCTATATATAAAATATATTATGCTGCACTATTGCACTACATTAGAAAATTTAAAACATAAATATTAATTTTCTGAAGCTAAAATTGAGCTAACATCTTGTGTTAACTCTAATTTTAATTTACGCCAAACGATAAAGAGATTAGTGTTAAATTCTAAACGTGTCAAACTAAACTAAAAGTCATTGTAATGCGATTTTTTCCATTCAACAAAGATCATAGCACCAGTTATTTAAAGTTAACTCCACAAGTGTTATAATGTAATTTCAAAACCCACTTATTAAATCGCCTTCTTACACCGATCTTGTTGAGAGACTCAAATTTAGCTATTCAATATATTTGATGGATTTAACTAACATTCGTATCCATTCTGTTAATTAAATATCGAATCTGCGACCATAGACAAGTATTCAATTACCAGAGAGTTTTGTTTTGTTGCTCTATTACTACCGATAAAATAAGGTGAATGAATAGTATTACCATTTTCGGTTTAATTTTGGACTTGTGGATGATTTAATGGTGAGATTGAACCATTATTTATTAATTGTCAAGGCAAACACTAATGTTATATTTATTCATGCTTATGTTTGACAATAGCATCAACCTGGTTTTTACATTTATTATGATAAATTAATAGCTCCAAGGCAGTTTCAAATAATAATATAAAGATTTTATATCTATTATTCCAACTGTTATATCGATTATAATCTAAGATATTGGCAAACGCTCTCGACCA